CCGCCCCGGGGGCCGGTCGTTCCGCCGGCTCCGGGTCCTGGAGGCGGGGGCGGGCTTTCGGGGGTCGGGGTGTTGGGGGTGGGGGGGAGCGCCGCCGCCTTCTCTCGCCTTCCTCACCTCGTCGACGGCGCGCCGGGGCAGGTGCAGCATGCCGAGCAGGAGCTTGAGCTTGACGGCCGAGGAGAGGCCGTGGAAGCAGAGGCGGATGTTGTCGATGACGGCGGCGGTGAGGAGCGAGGCGATGCTCGGCGGCGCCCACAGCTCGTCGGTGGAGCCCAGCTTGTTGTGCAGCCACAGGCCCGTGTCGCTCTCGCGCATCGACGCCATCTTGGAGCGCGGCGGGAAAAAAGGGGCACCGTCGGCGGGCATTTTATGAAGACACCTAAGGGGAGAGGGGAGGGGGCAGGAGGAGGAGGAGGAGGCAGGCCGAGGCCCCGGCCCCGCGGTGGGCCGCCCCGCTCCGTCCGTAACGCAAAATGGCGGCGCCCTGGCCGCGCGGAGGGACGGCGCTCGAAATGGCGGCGCCCTGGTGGGGGCCGTACACGACAATGGCGGCGCCGCCGCCGCAAAGGACGGCGGGAAATGGGGAGGCCGGCCTGCCTGCCTGCCGCCGCCGCCTCACGACTCGGCTGTGTGAGGGGAAGCTTCGCCCGGATCGCGGGGCCGCCTCTCTGAGGTGCCTCGCGGGCTCACCGGCCGGTCGCACCCGGTTCCCTTCCCTCTGCCACGGAAGACGCCGGGGGGGGGGACGACTCGAGACCGGAGGGAGGCGGGGTGACGCGGCGCTCCCTGAGGGAGGAGGACGGCCGAGGGTTGCCGCCGCTTCTCTGGAGTCTGAATGTCGATTCGACATAGAAGGGGGGCGGGGCGACGGGCTCCCCCAACGGCCCGTGGGAGGGGCGCGCGCACTCTCTCCCTCTTTTGTCCTCCTGGTCCCCCACGAAGCGGACTAAGGCACGGTGCTCAGGGCACCGGGGCCAAAGGGGGCACCACAAAGTTGGGGAAAGGGTTAGAAGCTTCGTTTGCACAGTTCTTTTGAACTATGGTGCTGGAGGAGACTCTTGAGAGTCCCTTGGACTGCAAGAAGAACAAATCAGTCAATCCTCAAAGAAATCAACCCTGACTGTTCCCTGGAAGGCCAGATAATGAAACTGAAGCTCAAATACTTTGGCCACCAAATGAGAAGGGAGCACTCACTGGAGAAGACCCTGATGCTGGGAAAGATTGAAGGTCAAAGAAGACGGGGACGGCAAGGATGAAATGGTTGGACAGTGTCATAGATGCAACGAACATGAAATTGAGTGAACTTCATGGCGGGCTAAGGAAACGGTTGCGCGCCCAGTACATGGGAACCAGGCAGAACATCAGACAAAACACAGGTGCAGTAGTCCTGGGAAAATCAATAGGCAAGCATTACAGCATCTTCTCCCCCACACAACCTCCAGCAGTTATCTTTTGCATTCCAAAGCAGGAGCAGGATGATAGAAGCCAAGCCGGGTGTAACAGGGAAAGGATATGTACACAGAGGTCACAGAAAACAGAATGGCAGCTTGCTGACATACTGCCCCCCTTAAAATACACTTACAACACACCTCCCGGCCTGGGCGGGAGACCTCCCGGGCTGGGCGGGAGACCTCCCGGTTTGTCAGGGGTACATAGCCATTTCACATCATACTTTTTAAAACGTCCAGTGGCACTTTTAAGACCAACAAAGTTTAATTCTGGGTATTAACTTTCGTGTGCACATGAAAGCTTATATCCAGAATTAAACTTTATGGTTCTTAAAAGCTGCTCCTGCACTCAAACGTTTCTATTGCTTCAGACCAACACAGCGACCCCACCTGAACATAATACTTTGTTACTGTACACCTAAAATGTTTTTTCTGTATTTAAAACTGTGGCGTACACAGAGTTCACTTGTTCTCGTAAGAATGCGACAAGTCTTCCCTCCTTGCCGCTGTGATTTTCCTACCCTGTGATGTGCCATCTTTGGAGCAAGTCTGGTTCACAAAAGGCCTCCAAAACAACCAGCTTCACTGCTAATTAGCACAGATCATTATCAAGGATATGATTCAGTTGGAGGGGATGAAAAAAAGACAATTATCTACTTTCCGAGGTAAGAACAGCAGTTTTCACCAACAGGTGACTTAATTGTTTGGCTTTTGGGTTCCCCACGCGCACACAGTGAGTGACATATTCAAATGGGTTGAAGACCAGGCTTTGTGTAGAACACTGGTGTTGGATCCCCAAGCATCGAGAATAAATCCACGTTTTAAAGAAAAGCAAAATTTATTTCAAAGCGTTGAAGACATACTCGAACACGTTCTTTGTTAGAACTGGGGATACACAGTTAGGTCAAGCATAATAATCTTCTCCCCCACACAACCTCCAGCAGTTATCTTTTGCATTCCAGAAGAATAGATTCTTTTGAACTATGGTGCTGGAGGAGACTCTTGAGAGTCCCTTGGACTGCAAGAAGAACAAATCAGTCAATCCTCACTTGCTGACACCCTGACTGTTCCCTGGAAGGCCAGATAATGAAACTGAAGCTCAAATACTTTGGCCACCAAATGAGAAGGGAGCACTCACTGGAGAAGACCCTGATGCTGGGAAAGATTGAAGGTCAAAGAAGACGGGGACGGCAAGGATGAAATGGTTGGACAGTGTCATAGATGCAACGAACATGAAATTGAGTGAACTTCAGAGGACGGCGGCAGACAAGAGGGGCCTGGCGGGAGCTGGTCCATGGGGTCGCGAAGAGTCCGACTCGACTGTGCGACTGAACAACAACAATTGTGTTATCACATGAATACATTTCTGTATTGCTGCAACCTGCATTGTCTATCTGGTCAGACAGGTCAACGACTAAAACGGACAGGGGGGGTCCGTGTGGAAAGGAGGGGGGGCACCAAGATTGGGCCAGTGCTGAGGGCCTCCGTGAGCCTTGATCCGCCCCTGCTGGTCCGCGACATCAGCTGCACTGGGAGGCCAGCCCTTCGGGGATCAGGCACAGGAGCCAAAGCTGCCTTCATGTGAACATGAGAGAAGCACATGTTGGATCGGGCCAATGGCCTCTCAAGATCCAGTCCAACACGCTGGGTCACACCGTGGCCCAAACCCGGGTGCCCTCAGGAGGTCCACCAGCGGGGGCCAGAACTCCAGAAGCCCTCCCACTTGTTGCCCCCTCCCAAGCGCCAAGAAGACAGAACATCACTGCCCGACACATAAGAGAAGCCATGCTGGAGCAGGCCAATGTCCCATCCAGTCCAACACGCTGGGTCACACCAAAACCCAGGTGCCATCAGGAGGTCCACCAGCGGGGCCAGAACTCCAGACCCCCTCCCACTGTGGCCCCCTGAGCAGCAAGGACAGAGCATCACTGCCATAGAATAAGAACATGAGAGAAGTCATGTTGGATTGGGCCAATGGCCCATCCAGTCCAACACTGGGTCACACGGTGGCCAAAACCCAGGTGCCATCAGGAGGTCCACCAGTGGGGCCAGAACTCCAGCAGCCCTCCTACTGTGGCCCCCCCAGCAACCAGGAATACAGAGCATCACTGCCCCATCCAGAAGACCATAAGAGAAGCCATGTCAGATGGCCCACCAAATCCAACACTCTTGTGTCACACAATGGCCAAAACCCAGGTGCCCTCAGGCGCTCCATCAGTGGGGCCAGAACTCGACAAGCCCTCCCACTGTTGTCCCCCACCCCCAACCACCAAGAATACATCAGTGCCCTGGACATAGATTCAGGTGGTCTGAAGAAACAGAACAAAGTTTAAACCAGTGGCACAGTTAAGCCCAACAAAGTTTAGTTTAAGCTTTCGTGTACATGCACACTTCTTCATATATCTGAAGAAGTGGGCATGCACACAAAAGCTTACATCCAGAATTAAGCTTTGTTGATCTTAAAGGTGCCACTGGACTCAGCTTTTGTTCTGTTGCCCCATGCCTTCCTGAGATGCAAGTAGAAATGGAGGTTCCTGAATTCTGGTACCGGGTCCAACCCTCAGGGCAGAATAGGGAAACGTGATTCTTATCTCACCACAGATGCTATCTTCCTGTTCCTACGCATTTCTCCACTGCTCTAATCAAGCTGATTACATTGTGAATTACACCTCTGGGTCCTGAGTTCCTTCTTTGCAAGACCCTTCCCACCTTCAGACTGAGTTAGAAGGACTTGGGGATCTCCACTCCGGCTTGTAGCTGACGAAGGGAAAGCTAATACCCCCCCAAATCTTACCAGTGTCAAAGGTACTGTCAGACTCGAACCTAACTGTTCTATTGGAGACCAACACAGCCACTCTCAAACTATCCAAACTGAACAGGAGCCCAGTGGCACCTTAGAAACAACCAGGGGTCATTTTGTAGAAAAAGAGGTGCAGGGGCTCATTAGCACTGGACTGTTTTGGATTGCTCCCTATTGGGGAGGGGGACGTGCAGATCTGTCCTGGCAGAGGAGGGAGAGCTTGTACCTGAATAAAACTTGGTCTTAAAGGTGCCACTGGACTGTTTGGGGCAGGGGGCGCCTCCGCAACTTACCTGGCTGCTTTTTGCTCTGACTGAGGGCTGCTGGGAGCAGGGGGTAGGCTGTTGCATGTGCCCACCCCCTGGGCTCTTTACTGCCAGAGTTCCGCTCCTGTGGGCTCCTGTAGGGAATTACCCCTGGAGACAACCAGCATTTTGTGCATCAGGACACAGCATCAGCTGCACGAAGGGAACCTTCCTAACAATCCATGGACTCTTTCTCAGAGTGAGTGGGGCAGGACAGCAAATCAGAATCAGGATTTGGGAGAACCTTGAGGGAAGTTACTCGAGTACTTTCACACACAAAAAAACCTTAATGCAAAGGTATTTATACTGAAAGCAAACAACAGAAAGGCAAGATGGGATTTCTTGCCAAAAGAGGCTCATTTATAATGAAATCCAATCAACGGCGTAATCATTCCTTTCAGAGTGGATGAAGACTACTCTGAACTGCTGATAAATGGACAGCAGAATGTATAGCCCACCTTTCTCCCCAACAGGGTCCCAAAATGGTTTACATAATTCTTCTTTCCTCCATTTCCCCCTCACAACAACCCTGTACGGTAGGTTAGGCTGAGAGCGTGTGATGAGCTCAAAGTCACCCAGCAAGCTTACGCGGCAGGGTGAGGATTCAGACTCCAAACATTCTGACCACGATGGCTCTCGTCAACAGATCCAGTTGGAAAAGTACAGAGGCCACAAGATAGAGTTTAGCTGAACATCAAGGACAAGGGATGCAGAAACATCACCTGTAAGTGAGTAAAAAGCCCATACGTATACAGGACAAATGGATATGGATGGACTCACCACAGAAACCTCGAACAGTCCAAAGTGCACAAGCCTGGCAATCTAAGAGGGCCCA